GTAGGTGTCTGATTCCAACTGGCGGCATGAGTGTATCCTTTGGTGTTCGCGTGGCGCGATTTTGTCTCCTTCTCACCAAGATTCACCGCGGAAAGTGAAGAGAGTGCGGTGGTCGTGGTGATGGCGCGTGGGCGACCGGAAACTATCCCTCCCACATTCGGATGCCCTTAACTCTGCAGGAAGGCAAAGAGACGGGGAACAAGAAAACGAGGAATCGTGAAAAATATGATGAATTAAAATAATAAGGATGGAGTGAAAATCTATTGTTCCACGGAGACCGGATGAATACCCTGCAGATTGCGTTTAATAAATCGTTTAATTAACATATTAACAATAATCTTAAACAATACATATCCGATATTACCTGATATACACATGATATATATTTGCCGTAAAAATTTTATAAATCACATATAATTGTTTACACACATATTTTTCATTTAAGATTAAATGGCCTATTAAAATTATTTAATTTTAAAAGGTTATATTAAAGAATCGGAGGCGCGTAGATTGTCACAAAAAATCGTATAAACAGACGCACTTAACGTGCCCTGTAAATCACTCGATGTCCACCGGTCGTTTGAGGACAAAATATAAAGGTGAGAGTTATTTTTTTTTTTATAAAAAATGAAGACCCGCATCAGCGCGACAGGAGAGAGAGGACGGATGTCTAATAAGAGATACAACCTCGTCATCAGAGTTACGAGACACTTTGTTACCGTTACCAACGAAACGGGGGAATAACGAGTCAATCTTACATTCCTATATCCCGATGTGAATTATAATCAAGTTTCATCATCTAACTATCCCCTCGTTTGGCTGCTCGCGAGATAAAGAAAATTAGTGTCAACACTTGAAATCCTAAATTTAATACACGAAATAGTTAATTTGGAGATGATTTTTTAAAAATATATTCGGGGCGCAACCGATGGGAGTATTAATAATTTGTAGCAGTCATGATGGATCGGTGAATGGGATCGAACGAACAACTAATCAAAATCGAAACTCGTTGCATATCGGGGTATACCGTATAACTCAGATAAATATTGTAATAACCGCGGGAGATAATCATGGGTTGAATTAATAAATGGGGCGGTTTTATTGATTGGTCAGCCGGAGATGCAACTCGAAAGATCATTAAAATGAAAAAAAAATATCGTGGAAGGTGAAATAGATCACTTTTCGAATTATGAAGTCATTACTCATTTTTAAATAGCATCTAGAAATGATCCATTACGTCAGACCTAGGATAGAAAAATTTTCTTCCGGAATTGAGGAAAGGATAACCTGTTTTCCATCGAGGCTTTTTAAACTCTGGTGAAAACGTGTTGATTTCGCCCAGTTTGCAAGATATTATTTTTCCTACTGGTAATTTGAATTTTACCTGAAAGATAGCAAAATAAGATATTGACTCCGAGATTTTTAATCGAGGAATTGAGTAATGAAATTGCATTGGACATTTTTTTTTCATGCGGACAGAAAATTATATCAAAGTCATACGTGGATATCGATTTTTTACATCTTTTGAATTTTAAAGATTTTTCGCGCCACGCCCCTGGAAAAATTCGTCCAATAATTAGCGATCTCCATTGTTTTCCGCGATGATTCCCAAATTTTCCCCACCTTTTTAATTATTCATAAAACCAAGTTAACCTAATTTTTTAATACAGGAAATTATTCCTATTAATTTTCCACTACTCCTAATTAATTTAAAAAATCCACCACCCGCAGGCTATCAGTAATATAATTATTATAATAATGTTTTTCGTTAAATTCCAAAAAATAAATGAAATGTATTACATATTATAAAAAATAAAATACAAATAATAAAATAGGAATGACATAATAAATCTAATGCAATTTAGTAATCTCAAAAGATAGAAGAATGAAAATTTCAGATATAAATAATAATGACCGAATGGTACATTGATTGCTATTTTGTGTCCAGTGAACCAACTCATTGGATCGTGTCGATTGCGCCAGGATATAACCCAAGGTGTACACTTGACGCCTGTATCAACCATTTTCACAACACCGAGAGTTGGCGCTGACTAGGTTGTGAAGCGTGGGCGACCGGAAACCGTACCTCCCTGCCGTCTTTGGAAGCTCCTAGCCATTAAACAAGGATTGAGAAAGTAAGAGAATAAAAAATGAGAGAACAAAGAAAAAAAAAGCCACCACACGGATCTGCTACTTTGTATACATTCGCCTTTCTCGTGATTTCATTGAGAAACCCATCTCGGATGAAGACCTGGGAGTCCATGGTCCGACGATTGCAGCTTAGGGTCGGGAAAAACGGACAATAAACCATTGACGAGAGATTCCCTGAGTGAAATGTCACATTACCGTGAAAATGGTGAGAATGAAAAGCCGTTGGGATTGAGGGGTACGATGACCTCCAGGTCCTAGGAGTGAAAGAGATCTTTTTCTTGGCTTCGACGGTGAGAATATTCCACCCACTTCTTGGAGAGTGCACCACCTACGCCTCGTGGATATTTTAATGTCTACGTAAAACAACGGTAAACAAGTATCCGAGGGAGTCGTATCAACGAATTTGAGAAAAATCGGTTAATCGAGGGGAGGCGGTCAGCTTCTTGGAAAGTTCCTGCAGGAGTTGACCGATTTCTGATATCCAACTCTGGAAAGCCAGTGAAATGTCAAGGTAGTTAAAAAAATGGAAATTTAAATAGGTCTCCAATTTCAAAATCTCGAGAATTTCACGGGAAGTTGACCAGAAATTTGACGGGATTTTCCGAAATTTTCCCGAATTTATTCCGATGGTAATTCCGATTTCCAATGAATTCCTCTTCATTTATTCAATCGAAAATTTCTTGAATAATCATTTGTATACAAGAATAAGATATTGAACTGTCATGCAATCCCAAAAAGGATTTCCAACGGAAAACATCGACTTCCAATTGGAGTGATGAAGGTAAGAGTACAAATGGAAATGTCATGGACCGGAAGGCTAGATCTGAGACATCGAAAATAATAAATTTTGGAAGGGCGAAAGCAGATTTCTTGATCTATAGAAAGGTGATGACCTCGATCCTACATGGCGCACGCCATTCTCGTCTCTCACCCGTTGAGAAGTATCACCAGCCAGTCCACCTCCTTCTGCTCGCCTGTTCCAAACGAACGCCCGACTCCACAGCCCACGCTTTGCCCTTCTGTCAATTATATTTACTATTTCATTCATACCCACCGGTTGGGACCAACACCGTGCCCATTCACGAGAAGTTGCTGTGGAACGCGCACCAACATCACTGGACAGAGACAAAGTCTGAGAGACATAAGTAAGTAGGAGGAAATGAGCTAAGCAAAAAGGATAAAAACCAATACATGCTAATACGTCTGGTTCAGTTATGGATAAGAAAGGAATCGGTGGAGTTTAATATTATGGTCTCCATCAGAATTACCAATCAAATGCTTCATGATGAACGTCACGTGGAACATTCTAATCCATTTCAGGAGTTACCGATTACGTTAGTGATCATTTCTGAATATGGGATCAAGCATGATTCTTCATAAATAAAGTGTGTAACACGTCGAAACGAAACGATTTTTCTAACCATTCGTCTGTAATCGTTATGCAGAAGGGCACGTGGGAATTATTGACTGAAAATTGATTCAGCTCCTTCGAAGGAGAGAAAAATTATGGGACGAACGATCAAAGGTGTTATGCCCCGATTTTGGTCAATTGTGTTATTGTTGAATATGTGGACATACGGCATTGTTAATGTGACACTTGCGGGAGTAACTGAATTATAAACAATTATGGATTGTATAAGAAGCAGGACGCATTATTCGTAATCATCGTAATCAGTCAGATTATATGGTTGGAGTAATAAAATGTCATATGGAGATACCAATAGCCTATTGGTAGGATTTATCCCTTCGAGCCTAGAATCTACAATAATTATAATTACCGGTTACAACACTTTGGTGCTCCTGAATTCTCAAAATTCGGAGATCATAATCTCAAATCCACGAGCGTCGCGTCTGGAATTATCTGAGAAATCCCCCGTCTCGATAAAATCCGGATTTCTCACCGGGAAATGATTACAGCATTTAATGAAGTCATTAACGCCTGCTCGATGCGATCTGAAAGTTGTATCATGAAGATGTAATGGATTATTAATTCAATTAGACGGCTTTTAGCCGTTCATCATACCTGCTATGTCATCAAAAAAATCAACCGATGAAAAATGAAAAAATTGTTGCACGCAAGTGCCGCGATGTTTTCATGGCAGTGACACCTCAAGGGGATTCCCCCAACTTTCAGAATTTTCACATGGTAAAGTCCTTTGTTTTGAAGGGTCGTAGCAAAGAGAATTGACTGAAGTAGAGGTTCAGTTCTGGGGGTTTGAGTGACCGCAGTGGCATCGTAGTACTGCACCCCAAGAGAGGGAGGGCGCCACACGCAATGGGGGTGTCGTCCCATCATGAAAATCGAGGAGGTATTCACTGAAACTTGAAAATTCGAAATTTTTGAAAAAGTATCAGGAGAGCATGACAATTGAGGAAGTATTCACTGAAATGTGAAAATTCGAAATTTTTATAAAAGTATCAAGAGAGCATGGAAATCGAGGAGGTATTCACTAAAATTGAAAAATTCGAAATTTTCAAAAAAGTATCAGGGGAGCATGAAGATCGAGGAGGTATTCACTGAAATTTGAAAATTCGAAATTTTTGAAAAAGTATCACGAGAATATGAGAATTGAGGAGGTATTCACTGAAATTTGAAAATTCGAAATTTTTGAAAAAGTATCAGGGGAACATGGAAATCGAGGAAGTAGTCACTGAAATTTGAAATTTCCGAGTTGGAAATTAGTTACCGAGTCGGCTGACGGGCAGACATCCCCATTGCGTGTGGCGCCCTCCCTCTCTTGGGGTGCAATACTCCGATGCCGCTGGGGTCACTCCGACCCCCCGAACTGAGCCTCTACTTTAGTCAATCCTCTTTAGGTCGTAGTGATGCTACTCCGCCATTACGGCGGCGCGCGCATTTTGTTGTTTGTTTCTTTCATCGAACAGCTGATCGGACATGGAGAATTCTATCTTGAACCTCGTAAGTGTTTTTCCACCATCATTTGTCGATTTCATCATTTTCGAATAATCATCCTCCGTAATTCCTGAAGAAAAAAAAATTGGTGTGAGCCAGTCGCCATTTTTGGCATCTTTCATTGTTGATTATTCGGATAAATGACGAATGTAGTAAACCATATTGAATGATCTTCGTCACCTGATATTACGTGGATATAATTAAAGGGGAGATTATGATTCATTTTTCAGGCTCATGAGAAGCAGAGAAGAGCAGATGTCCTTCTGCGCTCAAGACGCTTCGAGGAAGCCGCAGACTGTCATGAAAAAGTAGCTGAACTTCTCGCCGAGACTCACGCACAAATCAGCGCCAGCTTTGTTGACGTGAGACCATTGGAGATATCCAATCATCAAGATAATAATTTAGCCACGTCGTCCATTCGCTCTACAGCTGCCCTAGAGTCACTTGTGCTTCAGCGAGATTATCATAAAAGGCAAGCGGCTGTTGTCAGGTAAGATTGATTGCAAAGAATATCAAAAGAAAATATCAAATTGCGGTAGAAGGCCAATGCAATTGGCCAGGAGGGAAATATAATTTATGACGCCATTAAAAAATTTCGAAATTGTTGAAATTCAGGATTAAGACGAATGGTTATAAAAAAATAATGAGAAAAAAAGAGGAAAAATTGTTGAAGGGTGTTAAAGAGCGATATTAATTAAAAGGGATCCAAATAAAAATAAAAAATACGCAGGCTACCATTGCTCTTCAGTAGATTGAGTGGCAACTAGACGCAATGGTAAACTGCATATTTTCAATTATTTTGGTGCAGCATTTGACCCTTCGTGACCTTTCGTGACTGAAGAAAAAATGCCGCTATCAACACCGAAACCCCGTGAAATTAATTTTTCTTCAATAGAAATTTTATAGAAACTCCAGAGACTTCTAGAATCCCAATAAAATTGAAAATACAAGTTTTTTTTATTGTATTTTATCATATATCCTATCCATCTACATAACCCAGTCCTATGTACCGAAAAAATTGGCGGGAAAAATTTGCACCGCGAGAGGCGGTAGGAGTACATTCTCCGGGTCCTTAACGAAGTTGTCTTAACAATTAGAGTTGAATTTAATGGATATTAAAAAATTGCAATTGTAGAATGAAGCAAGCACAATACGAGGAATACAAAAAGACATTGGAGAGTCAACAACAACATCTCAAGCAGACCTCTAAAAACCCGGCGAAGGGAACCGCCGAGACCGCGATTTCCGAAAAATACGAGGGGTCATTGCGACAGGCCATCTACAGGACAATCGAAGAACAGGATAGTCTGATTTGTCTGATATCGTTGCCTGAAAATGATCAACCGTTTAAGCATCCTGAAGATACAAATACTGTTATCGAAGAGCTACGTACCGCCAATTCGCAATTACGATCGCTCGTTGAGAGTCTGCTCGGTCAACTCGAGGCCAAAGAGTTGGAGGTCCTCCAGCTAACCCAGAGACTTCAGAATAGATCCGTTGATTCTAATGAAGAAATTGGTCCCGGTGAGGGACATTCCCTCCGACTAACTTCACTTCCTCCATTAGCGCCCCTTGAAATGCCGCTATTCGATTTCACCTCTCCTTAAAACTGATCAGCAGTAATTAAACAAATTATTAGAGAAAATATCGCGGCCCTTCTGTAAGAAAATCGTGTCAACACTTTTTGGTATTCGATGTTTTTGCAGCTTCACCGAAATTGCGAAAAGATTCTTGGAAGCGTCGGATTGACACTCTCATATTCGAATTTAGTGCAAATCGGTGTGTAATCTGTTGACAAAAAAGTTTGTGCGATCTTTTGGCAGAAAAGGAGACGATGTATTTATGGAGTTGGGATGAAAAACAATTGTTTCTGATTCTTCTACCAAACGCAGCAATTTTTGATGGAATAATGTGTACAGATTAAGTTAAAAATTGCTTGATTGTCTTGAAAGTAATGGTTAACTGACGAATTTCATGGCGAGCAGTTCAAATAAAGAGTGTGACAATACGTGGAGTGCGCGATGATAATACAATTTTTTATGGACATATCGATTTCGAATTATTTTTGTATGTGCTACGATATCCATATGAATTATAATAACAAATATTTATTTGAGGGTGATATAGATTTTTTGATTGACAAAACCCAGAGTAGCCAATACTGCCATTTCTACGTTGTACATAAATGAGTTTCAATTGTATAATAATTCCGATAATTGTCTTTATTGTCTTGAGAGGTTTCTCTGAAGATGGTTTGATAAACGTAATGCAGTAAAACCTGATTGTCCATCTGTTTATTGTTGATTTTTCTACTGATTCCGTTGATGTTCAAAATTCGTGTGAGAATGCAATCGATATCCAGGGGTTTTAATAAACAACATGATCCCCAAACATTGAGTTCGATTTTTACATTCAAAATTTTCAGTACCAAGTAGCTGTGGTGTGAGAAGAAAATGACGTGAGGATAATTCATATTTACTGGAGTTTGCTGACTGAGTCGATAGAAATTCAAATGCCGAAGTCGAACAGCGGTCGGAGCAAAGAAACATTAAATGATTTGACAGGGGTAAATTTTTAAGGAAAAATCGAAAAGGTAAGTAATCTCTTGCATTTATTCGTCTCGAATGATATTGGAATGTTGACAGGTGTCAATTAATCAGATATGAAACAAAAATAACCGGTCATCATCGGTCGTCATGTGACCGATGATAATGAACGATGAAGTACGATTCGACTACAAATGGCATGTTATTCCAGTTGATACCACCCTGACCTTGACTTGGGTCCAAAATCAATACAAACTCTGACATGAAGTAGACAACAAAATCATTTACTAATCGAACATTGCTAAAAGAACAGAGAAGTACGATCCAACGGCTTTGACAATATTCTTGAAGCTCTCAAGATTCATAACGCAAATTTTTCCTGCTGTCAGCGTAAATGTCTTGTAACTCCGCATCATCACGAGTACAAACTCTTTGGTGATCTTACATGGCAAGTCACACCATTGACAGTTGTAAATAGCTGATCCCAGATTTTCAAATCCTGAAGACAGCCGTTCCCCGGCGTAACTGTACAGAAACAATTGCAAATGCAGAATCTGAAGCATGATGATGCTGTTGATGATGACAACGGTGTTTCCCATCCTGAGGTTGACGACCATTTGCAGAGCTAATATTACAATTAATTGTTTAATAACAACTGAATCATTGTCTGAAATGCAGATATTCAATAGACAATTTTAAAACAATTGGAGAAGTTTGAACATTGTCTTCTGGAGAACTTTCCAATTCCGTTGCTACCACCCGATAATCAAATAGGCAGAATATCGATTACAGGGAATATTGACAAAGTATTATATTTACCAATCAGGCAAATCTCATAAGTAAGCGCAGACAATTCCACCAGAATGATGACGTTGAAGGTGGCCTCCAAATTCTGAGCAAGTTCCAACAAATGATTCTGCCGCTTCACGAGGGAGACGAACTGACCATGACGATCAGTGTCCTCACCATTCTTCCCAAATACTTCCATGTCATCAGTCAGCTTTTGAACCTGTCCACTCAAGTGCATTGTGAGACCAAAAAAAAAGCAATTGCATCCAATATTTCCGGTGCAGGTCGTCAGCAATTGAATGCTTTGGGTGATATATAGAACAGTGTAAAAACCCGAAGACATTTCTCCAAATAGACAGACAGTACCTAGTGGCAAGTAGTTGATGACTGGATCGGTGGAATTGGACGTATTGACAGCAGCACTCACAGCAAAACCGCCCAAGATGATGGGTACCGTCGTGATGTAGGAAGCAATCATCTGAAAGAGACAAATCGTTCTTCCCAATTTGGCACAGCTGAGCATTTCGTTCTCTTCAGATGCTGTTTGCGTGTTTGACCAATCATCCATTGCAGACAATATAACGTCGAGCATTTTGGAATTATTGGTCCGGATGATGATCACTTTGACAATTGTCATCAAAGCACATGAGAAGAGAGAGATGTTCTGGATTCTATCGCTGACTGCAGCACAGTCGAGATGCATTTCACCAGCTATGCTGATCATCATGGTGAGCTGGAAGATTTCACCAGTGAGAACATCGGAATGACATATCAAAGATTCATAATCGTTACCTGAAGGATGCAGACTATCAAGACTTGACATTTTGGAATTAAACTGTGACAGGAGAGTGGCCAAATTCCAAGGGCCTGAGTAATGAGGCGATAGAGTCCGAAAGCGTAAGCACTTTTCGGATTCCAAAGAGCTCTGGATCGAATTGTTGTCTCCATAACGGCTGAAGAAGCAATGCGGTTCGATCGTGGATATTTTTTTTCTACTGTTCATGCATTGTTTATTATTCATAACCATTTGTAGAAAAAAATTCTCTTCCAGGTATTCGCTGTCGACAATATCCTCAACAGATACTCGCACTCTCTTCAAACAACTTCATTATTCATAGAAAGGGTTGGACAAAAAAATGATGATATTTGTGCGTGGGTGGAAAATGGAAAAACTTTGTTGTGAGCTAATGGTTTATTCAGGATTGCGTGACGCGCGGTCAGCATGAGCTGGTCAAGAGACGTGGACCTGGGGGTCTGGAAAAAACTGGGTTGCAGAGGTGCGTCAGTAAGTTTCCACATTCATTGGAGGTTCTAAGCCTTCATTTGGAAGCGTCAGTTCGATGTACTCATCTTTCCATTAGACGGGAGTGAATATTCATTGTTCCAAGTTAGTGGTACAATGTGAAAATCAACGAGACAAACGTGATGTGTTATCCAGACGAGACTATTTTATAAATTGGTGAATGAATATCTGAATCTTTACCTGAATCAGCTACAGTGATATCGGAAAATCATTTGACAATTATATTATTCGTAAGAATAACACAACAAAAGTATCAACTCATGCTTAAATCACTCGGACAAAAAGCACAGAAAATATAAGAAACCTCAGAGTTCTCAAAATAACTTTGCAAAGAAGCCACGGTTGACATTGAAAGACACACCCTTCGAATTGGTTATAGTTTATTAACATAAGCGTGATTTTGCCAAATTTGACGAACCGTTTGACAGGTGCGGATTGGTCAAGACCATCCTAGTCATCATTCGTCAAACATCGCTTGCATGACCGAAAAATACGATCCCAATGTCTTAATGATACTCTTGTAACTCTCGAGATTCATGGGAATAATTCTTCCAGCTGTCAAGTGAAAGCGCTTGCCACATCGTGTCATGATGAACAGGAAATCTCGACTTGCTTTTGGTGACAGGTGATACCAAGAACACTGGTACAAAGATCTTTGTAAAGAGCTGATGCTGGAGGACAAGCACTCGCCCGCATAATTGTATATCGCTAATTGCATCAGAAAGATACAGACGTAGATGGAATAACTCATCGCTGTTGCTGGATCACTCCAACGAATGCTCAACAACACCTGAACACCTGTCGAGAAAATTGACCATGGGTACTTCCATGATATATTCACTCAATCCTTCCATTAACGCAAGGTAAATAAATCAGTAATTATTTTAATTGAGTAATTGCACATACCTGCACTGGAAATTTGATAGACACTTGCCAGAACTTGAAGTGCAATTACAAAACTGAAGATCTCTTCCAGATGAGCAGCCATTTGTATCAGATGAGTGTGTTGTCTGATCATAACTCTTAGAGTCTGTTGATTCTTCAATTCATCACTCTGCGGTTCAAATCTTTCTAGATCATTCGCAAAACGTCGGATTTGACTCACTAGATTCATTCCTATCCCAAAGAAATAGCAGTCGCACCCAAGGTTGGCCATGACCAGTGCAATTATTTGAAGAACTTGCAGCGCATAAATTTCAATATAAAAATCCAAGATGTCTTTATAAAAGCATCGAGTTGGCAAGGGTATGGCCCTGAAGATCTCAGTCAGATTGCTTTCTCGATTGAACTCTTCCGAATTTCCCAGTCCACAAAGTAAAAGCGGTAGATCAGAAATAAAAGCTGATACTAATTGACAAATCAACATCTTCCGACTAATTCCTGTCGTGCTGTCCATTATTTTAAAGTCTTCATCATTTTTTACTGATGACCAATCTTCAGAGAATGATGTTGTGATCATGAGCATTTCCTTTTTTTTCAGCTGGATGCTCAGAATTTTCGCTACTGACAAGATTATGCAGATCGTAAATGACAATGGCACTAATGCATTTTTTATTTCTCCACATTTTGGATTGAATTCGTACAGTATAGTCACTGCCGCGGTACCCTACAAATAATTCATCAGAAAATCTCCATTTGCTTTTCAAACGTGAAAGAAAGTTCAGTAGAAGAATATTATATAATTGATAAAAAAAATGTCAATTCCTTCTAATTTATTTCAATGAAAAGAAATTAAACAGAAAATTGACAGAATTTATTAATTTTATTAATATTTTGATTGATTTAATTAATTCTATCATTAATTTTATAGAATAATCTGAAACCTTTTGATTTTTCTCAAGATATTTCCATTCATTTCTTCCGTAGAATATTTTCTACTGAACATTTATCTCGATATAAAATTCAGAGTAATTACGATTGATGACGTCCTACCAGTAAAATATATATCACTGTCACTTGAAATTTTGGAATAAAATTGTGACACGTCATGCACCAAATCCCTAGACATTGAGCGATTATTTTATATGGCCGTATAGCAGAGGCGACTCTCTCATCGTTTATCAATTTTTTTCTTTCTTTTTCCATCGTTTCAGGAGGCACTGAACCCTTTCCCCTGTCCACGTTTATTTTTATTGCGCAACTTTTTTCTTATTCATGAAAATAGTTCAGAACTTTTGTCACTCAAATGTCTCTGTACTGAATGGCTAATATTGAGTGGTTTTATTTGAGAAATATTTTTCCCCTCGTGCTCTCTTATGTGCATATTTAAGGTACAAAAGTTTCCACGAAGAGACATTGTTGTTTAGTTTGCACTGACAATAGTTGTTTGTTATTTCGATACGTCCAATACGTGATGGGACACGTATTGGGCGTGTATTTTTTTTTTAACAATTTTTTGTGCTTGATGCATCCACGGAATTAAATTATTGTTTCCCGAGTGTTAACATTGTTTATTCATTACCATTAATTAAATTAATGAGAGAGGATGGGCTAGGAATTTTTACTGTAACATTTTGTCGAAGCCGAAAAAATTTTTGTGAGAAGATTTCGATTTTGTTTTAGAATTCCAAATACTTTTATTGAAAAAGTTATTGTTATACTTCACATTTGGTTAATTATGTTATCGTTGAGTGTGTGAACATACGTCTTTGTGGGCGTAACTGGTCTGTACTAGATTATGTCTAGCCGCAAATCATTGTAATCAGTCAGATGACACATTAATTATAATCATAATAAATTACTTAATCAAAAAAATATGAAATTCATCTATTGATTATTATTCATCGAACATGGCCCGTATGACCGAGAAGTACGAGCCCAAAGTCTTGATTATGCTCTTGTAACTTTCGAGATTCATGTTGATGACTTTTCCAGCTGTTAAATGAAAGGGTTTGCCGCAGCGTGCTATTATGAATACGAAATCCTTGTTGGAATTCGGTGTCATCTGATACCAAGGACAACAGTACAGACAAGTTTGCAAGTAGCTGATGCTGGATGACAAACATTCCCCAGCATAGCTGTATATCGATAGCTGGACGAGAAAGATACTGATGAAGATGGTGAAAGTTATCGCTGTGGCTCCGTCTTTGATGCGGATGCTGAGTAATATTTGGAGGCCTGTAACATTGTGACAATTGCAAGTCATGTCGATAAATGTTGATGGATTTCAGGCATAAGAAAAGGAACCGATAAGCGTCATGCACTCATTTGGAAATTATACTGAAACTCAATGAAAACTTTCTCAGTCTTTCATGCCCTTTGGTTATTATACGTACCAGCCATACAAATTTGATAGACATTCGCCATCACTTGAAATGCAATAATAGCACTAAAAATCCTCTCTAAATGATCAGCCATCCTGATAAGATGAGTATGTCTTCTGATCACAAGTCTCAGAATTTGTCGATTCTGCTGTTCGCATTCCAGCGAGTCAAACTTCTCAATATCACTCGCAAAACTCTGGATTTGACCCACTAGTAGCATTGTTATCCCAAAGAAATAACAATCACTTCCTACATTCCCCAGAATAGTCACCGTAATTTGTACAATTTGCAGTAAATAAATTTCAACATAAAAGTCAGCAAACAGATTTCCGTAGAAGCAAGGGTTTGCCAGAGGAATAGCTCTGACGACGTCCGTCATATTTGTCTCAGGATTAAAAGCCTCACCATTTCCTAACCAGCAGAAAAACATGGGAATGGTAGAAACGGCAGCGAATCCCAGTTGAAAGTAACAAATCCTTCGACCAATTTGGGACGCTTCATCGATGATGACCAGGTCATCATTAAACGCTCTTGATGTCCAGTCTTCCAGGATTGATGTGATAATTCTAAGCATGCTTTCACTATTCATACGAATGCTCAGAACTTTTATTACAGATAGACTTGCTGACATTCCCACCGAAACCGGTGTAAACGTATCTATAAGCACTCCACACTTTGGATTCAATTCGTAGAATAAACTCAATGCATTCATCACCTGATAAAATTCCAACAAAAAAAAGACAGCTGTACCATTTGCAAATAATCATGAGTAATGAGATCCTACCAATAAAATACATATAATCATCAATTGAATCTTTGAAATAGCATTGTGACACGTCATGCACCAAATTCCTAGACTTTGTGCTATCAATTTGTACGGCCTGATAGCATATGATGCGGTTTCATTGTACTTCAGTTTCTTTTCCTTGTTCATTGTTCTAGAAGGCACTGAACCCTTCTCCCATGGTCATTGTTATTTTTATTGTGCCAGTATCTTAATTATTTATAACAATAGTTCTTAACTTTCCTCACAGCCCAGAAGGAACATCTGCAGTGAATATTTAACGTGTGAGTTCTGTTATTTGGAAAATGGTTTCCCTCTTGCGTTCTCTATTATGCGCATATTCGATGTTGAGTCGTTGAAAATTCATGGCCGGAGATAATGTGGAGTTCAATTGATGTGAATAACAGAATTTTTTGTTGCACATCCGGGTGAGTCTATTTTATTTTTCATGATGCGACAGGAGAGGGGAGAGACCGATTGCCAGTTTTTCCTTCAGTTCCTGACAGATTTTTGTAGCTGCTTTGCACGCGGCGGAGCTTGTGATGAAGCGAATTTCGGAGTTGCGTGAGTCTTCCAAATGAAGAAAGTTCTCGGTATTTCGTAGAATTTCTGTGATGCTGAGCCACTTCTGACATTCTGGCGTTCTCTGAATGCCATTTGCATCTCGATTTCCGATGTTGGAGTATATTCATGGATTTATTTGGTGTTCAGTCCCAAATGGGAATGAATTGTGCCTGCGGATATTTTCGGCCATTTTGACAGGGATGAGGTAAGATAAGAGAATTAATTAGAAAATTAATCAATTTTGCAAAAAGAGGAGCAGTAGACTAGAAATTTTTAAAAATTTAATGAAATTTGAAATTTTTGAGCAGCTGATAGTAAGATCATAATTTCGTAACTTACGTGAATTTTTTTCTCTTTTCAATCTTCTATTTTGGACTGCTTCATGGGAGAAATGGCTTGAGACGGTTTTCGTAGGAAAATAAAGATTTTTCTGTTGAGTTTTGCAAATATTTATTGAAGAGTCATTACTTATCAAACATCGCTCGCATGACCGAAAAATATGAGATCAAAGTCTTGAGGATGTCGGTGTAGCTTTCGAGATTCATGGGAATGATTTTTCCAGCGGTCAAATGAAAGGGTTTGCCGCACCGTGCTATTATGAATACAAAATCCTTGTTGGTTTTCGGTGTCATCTGATACCAAGGGCAACAGTACAGACAAGTTTGCAAGTAGCTGATGCTGGATGACAAACATTCCCCAGCGTAGCTGTATATCGATAGCTGGACGAGAAAGATACTGATGAAGATGGTGAAATTTATCGCTGTTGCTCCGTCTTTGATGCGGATGCTGAGTAATATTTGGAGGCCTGTAACATTGTGACAATTGCAAGTCATGTCGATAAATGTTGATGGATTTCAGGCATGAGAAAAGGAACCGATAAGCGCCACGCACTCATTTGGAAATTATACTGAAATTCAATGAAAACTTTCTCAGTCTTTCATGCCCTTTGGTTATTACACTTACCACCCATAGAAACTTGATAGATATTCGCCATCACTTGAAGTGCAACAACAGCACTAAAAGTTCTCTCTAAATGATCTGCCATCCTGATAAGATGAGTATGTCTTCTGATCACAAGTCTCAGAATTTGTCGATTCTGCTGTTCGCATTCCTGTGGTTCAAGCTTCTCAATATCACTCGCAAAACATCGGATTTGACCGACTAGCAGCATTGTTATACCGAAGAAATAACAGTCACAACCCACATTCCCTATAATAGTCACCGTAACTTGTAGAATTTGGAGCAAATAAATTCCACTATAATAATCAACAAATAGATTTCCGTAGAAACATGGATTTGCCAGAGGAATAGCTTTAACGATTTCAGTCACATTTCTCCGAGGATCGAAGACCATCGCATTTCCCATTCCGCACAGGTACATGGGTGTGACAGAAGTCAAAGTAGATACTAGTTGAAAGTAATAAATCTTTCGACCAACTTTTGACGCATTGTCCATTATCCTCAGATCATCAACACATGTGTTTGACGACCAGTTGTCGATGATCGAAGTAATGATCTGTATCATATTTTCACGATTCAGACGAATACTCAAAATCTTCATGATAGAGAGGCAACAACAGATTCCCGTCGAGACCGGTATCAATTTGTCCTTCAGCACTCCACATTTTGGATTCAATTCATGGAATAGACTCAATGCATTCGTCACCTGATAAAATTCCAACAAAAAACAGACAGCTGTACCATTTGCAGATAATCATGAGTAATTAGATCCTACCAATAAAATACATATAATCGTCAGTTGAATCTTTGTGATAGCATTGTGACACGTCATGCACCAAATTCCTAGACTTTGAGCTATCAATTTGTACGGCCTGATAGCATATGATACAATTTCATTGTATTTCAGATTCTTTTCCTTGGTCATTATTCTAGAAGACACTGAACCCTTCTCTCATGATGATTTTTATTTTTATTGTGCCATTGTCTTCATTATTTACGGCAACAGTTCTTAACTTTCTCCTCTCTTTCATTTGAGAAATATTTTCCCTCGAGTACTCTGTTATGCGCATATTTGATGTCAGGCCTTTGAAAGTTCATACCAAGTTCATTTTTGTTAGCAATTGTATCTCTCATTGTACGTCCGGGTAAACTTATTTTATTTTTCATGATGTCAAGTAGTGGGGAGAAACAAATTGTCAGTTTAGCCGTCAGTTCGTCGTGAATTTTCGAAGCTACTTCGTCGGTAGAATAGATTGCGACAAATTTAGAGTGCGAATAGTCCAGTGGTGGAATAATTGTTCAATTACCGAGTTCATGATTTCATTACTGAAGGTCGAAGATCATTATTTGTGACGTGTCAAATCATGAAGTGTTAAAAGACCGGAGTAATATCAATCCTAAAATATTCATTCCTTTTTCCAAATGTGGCATACCATTCAAATTGATCAGCTCGAATTTATAAATCGATTCTCTGATGAATTCCCGAAGTGCCAGTGGATTGAAAAAAAAGAATTAGTCGTACTTTAATTCCCTGTATTGTAAAATTCCGAATAAATTAACTTTGTTATTGTAAATAATCATTCAACTTCATAATAAGTTTAATTTTGAACATCTGAATATTTCCAAAATGAATCCTTCGACTTATCTTAATAACATCTAATTATCCTAGACAGTCGATGGTATTAGAATGATGATTATCTACACATGACTATATGAATCTTTGAGAATGTGAAGTATTTTATTCGTTGAACATAGCCTGCATGACGGAGAAGTACGAGCCAATGGCTTTGATGATGTTCTTGAAGCTGTCCAAATCCATACGATAAATTTTTCCAGCTGTCAAACTAAATATTTTTGATGTGCGTACCAGAATGAAAAGGACATTCTGCTTATTCGCTGGTGACATTTCGTACCAGAGACACTTGTACGCTGTTGTACCAACATTTTCAATTGCACGTGATAAACTATCACCGGCGTAACTGTACATGAACATTTGAAGAGTCAGAATTATAACGCAGATTATGGTGTTGATGCACACAACCAAGTCACCAGCCCTCGCACTCCTGATGATTAAGATTCCTAGAATAAACCGGTAATTAATTAATTAAGTGGACCGTGCTGTCATCAAATTGTAGTCATTAATGAGTTTTGTATAAGTTTGTCTTCAATATTCATAATTATAACTCGATTGTCGAGAAGCTCTTCAGTCTATTAATTTCGCTGATCACGCGTACCAACTGCTCGCAGGGGAATCCCCGAAATTCAATTAGATCTGTTTTTTAATAAATTATTTTTCTCTGTTCAATACTCTCCGTACTTACCGTAGAAACAAATTTGAGAGCAATTCGCTGATACAATGCAAAGAATAATCAAGTTGAAAGTTCTCTCCAAATGCTTGGCGAGTTCAATCAGCTCGACTTGTCTCTTGATCGTCCCAGAGAATATATTTTCGCGGGAGACATCGGTGTCCGGTTCAGAGATGCTCTCACAATTGAGCGCCAGACACTCGAATTGTGCTGTCAAATTCAATGCAATTCCGAAGAAGCAGACGTCATTCCCCACGTTTCCAGTGCACGTGAAGAACAGCTGAATGATCTGATAACCGAACATGATGACGTAGAGAGATGTTGACAGACCACCGAACAAACGACTGGTCTGAAGAGGAAACGATCGTAACCCTGACGAGGTGTCATTGACCGTCTCATTGACGATCGTTGCGAAAATCGGTAATGTGGCTATGATTGTTGGTAAACAAACAAAATACGTGCCTCCGAGTTGATAAATACAGATTGTCCTCCCCAATTTGGCTCGAGCCCTCACGATCGCCAGAGCCTTTGAATCGTGGAGAAAATTTGTGGCACTGATCAAGTCTTTAATCACCAATTGCATCTTACTCCAATTAGCTCGGACAACAATAATTTTCGTGAGCGATAGAAAATTACATGATAAGAAAGACATCAGTTGCGGATCGACTTGTGAAGCAGAAATTATTGTCTCCCCAGTCATGAATAGTATCATCGTTATCTGAGAAGGATGTCCAAGTCATTGTGTGCTTTCGACAGAAATACAGTTCAATATTTTACCTGCGTTGTGCACGCAAATATCGTTAGACCCCAAGACCCGATATTTTGGCAAGTGAAAGGCCAGAGTCCCATGACTCGGTAGATGATTTCGTACAGGCTATAGGCATAACGAACATCTGAGTCTGATACTTCCGACTGTTCTCTCATTGTTCTCGCAGGAGTGACTGACCGCTGACGCATGCTTTCAACTTCTCCCTAGTTTTTCTACATGGGGTGAACCAAACTTCTACGAAATTTCAAAAGCAACAACTGCAATGGTCCTCTCAATACTTGATGATTTCTGCCTAGGTGCTGCATTTGGAATTCATGATGGCGTGAGTGTTTGGCAAACAGCGCGGTAGACTGCGCGGTAGAAGAACACTTTGTTGGAAGACTTTATTTGGAGGGAACGCTTTCATCGGTGTCACATCTGCCTGGAAATGTTGTTCAGTTATCAAACGATTTTGAGGTGAGATATCATAATTACCTGTGTTCTGATTCGATTTCTTGATTTATCATTCAGATTTGGACGGACGGACGCTTTGGAATCACATGTTCAGGGAATTATTACAGAAGTTGAAATATTCGGGGACTTGAATCTCCCGTGAGGGTTTATCGGTGGATCAATTGTTGAGTGATCAATGTGATGAACATCAAGTATTTGAAACGTCATTATTGGTAATCGGATTATTGATGACGATACAACGGTATCTTCGGAAAATTAGAGAATTTAGCGAAGGAACATTGACGGACATTTTGGAACTGCAGAGTGAGATGTCAAAAATTTATTTCTAGTTCGATTATATTTTGTGGTGGAAATTTTCATTTTTTGTTCAGAGAGGCTTGTTAGCACCGATCTACGATCAGACTCGAGAATTTATTTCATTTAATAGATATGATTTATCATTCCTGATTTGGGGCTCGTATGCGTAATTTTTTAATCATTTCATTGAATTTCATTCAATCAATCGGTGAATTTCTGTTTATGCCTTTCATTTTCCGTTTCTAAAATTCCACATGCTTTGGATATTATTGGGCATTTAGATGTGATGATCACTCCTCTTTTTATCCAGAAAGCAATTATTCATTGAGAATTTATTGAGAAATAAAATAAAATTTGCTGAAGTGCATGGAATGTGGAATTAACGATTAATAATGAAAAATAAATTATTTCAATTTAAAAATGGAAATTAAATCTAATGGAGAAGACCTAATAATAGAAGAATTACGGAGCAGTGAAGAATAATTTCATCAGAAACCCAAATTTTATGGTTACATTTCGACAATCGAATGTCGGTGACTTCAACGGATTGGCCTAGCAAACTTTTTTTTTTCTTATATTCCTGTCCTTCCTGCCCTTTTTGGCTAATTGGCCCTATTCCATCATATGCATGCTGTGCATCCTACACAGTATTCACTCTTCTATAAAACCGGCGTGAGTAGGGAAACCACAGGAAAAACCAACTCGGTACAGACGATTGCTCTATTAGCAGCCTCCCCCTCATCGATGCCTGTTGAAAAATTGGCTTCAACGGGGAATCGAACCTACAACTTTCAGAACACTAGGCTCGCACCTAGTCACTGAGCTACCGACGTTGGCCTAACAAACTTTCGTGATTCATTTCTGTTGAAATCGTCAACTGTTCTCCAAACCTCAAAGTCTCGAACCAGTCAGATGACTCAAACCCTGACACTTCGATGGTATCGAACTGGTCGAAATGAACTGAGAGTTGATACCTTAGAGCATATGACACTGAACGGGCGCCACGGAGTGGACACCTCATGCTGAGGGCATTTTTTTATCGATTCCCATTTATCCCGGTAATTATTCTCTCTGGTGTCGGTTCTTGCGAAAATTAAACGGAATACTTGATATTGTAATTGCGAGGGACACGGGGAAAACTCTGGTTTCTCTTTCATCCGACAGACAGAACTGGAGACATGGATTTTTTTGATTATCCAAACTGGTTCCTTACAAAGTGGTTATTGTTTTCATTCGGTGCATGGCCCTTTCAGACCTCACGATTTCGTTATGTCTGCCGGTATATTATGGGTTGTGTTATTGGTAGTATACTTGTTCCTCAGGTATTCTTTATGAAAAAATCCAATGAAACGTTATTATTCGTCTATATAGATTTTTTGGAAATCAGAGGAATACGAAAGTAATAAAGTGATTTGTCCTTTATTTTTCAGATTATCCGGATATTTACACTCGAGGGAAATATAAATTTGTTCGTTGAATGTATCAGTACCATGTTTTTGCACTTGTTAGTGACGATTAAAATGATCAGCTGCATCTCCAACTTGGAAACGGTGCTAAATTATAATGACGCTGAAAGGAAAAATTAGCTCCGCCGAAAAGACGAATAGCGCAAAATTTTCCAATAATATTAGACGAAATAATCTCAATATTTTCAAGTGGAATGAATATATTTCCAGCAGAGCTAATTTCTGCTCTCAGCGGCATTGCATTCTAGTAAATCGAGATCTTGTTATTTTTGATTATTTCTAATGTAGGAGAAGGATTTACTCCTGCAAATAGAGAATCAGAGAAAATTCTATTCTCTTTCCTCCGAAAAGAAAGTACTAAATAAATATGCGAATCGAAGTGGCACAATTACACGTCTATACGTGTGTAAGTAAATTAATGAGATTCCAAATTTTAATTGTAAAAATGACTGTATGGAAATGGAATGGAAATTTAACTTTTTGTCAGCAAGCACAGCTCATCAGTCGCTCTTCCTCGTTTCCCTTTTCAGATTATATTTATGCTAGCGTTGCCCTGTACATGTGTTCGCCATTGGTACCCAAAATTTTGGACTGTATTTTACATTTGAATGAGAGTTCACCAATAATTTTTCTGTATGAGGCCGAATATTTTGTTGATCGTCGAGAATACACAACATGGATTTTACTCCATTCGTACGTCGTGACACTTTTAGAAGCAACAGTGGTTGTTGCGTTTGATTCCCTGTACTTTCATTTGGCGGAACATGCATGCAGTTTGTTTTCAATTGCGTGGTGAGTATGCCCTGAATTTTTTTTTAATACATCAACTTCAATTGTTAATAATGATATGTGGAATGAATATAATATATCATTCATCATTCATTGATATACCATTGATATATCACGCATGAGGAATGTATTCAATGTATTATTAAGAATAATGTTATGAAGAGAAAATTAATTGATGCAATTAAAAACTCCATGCAAATTAGCAAACGGATGGACAGATTGGCTCATGACATAGAATTCCAAAAATCATCAGACCAGAGCATCTCCGCAAAGAGGGACGATGTTGGTGATGCTGTTGTACTCTGCATCATGCAGCACATGAAAGCACTCAAGTAAATGTCCTCTACCTGCGCTGCATGAAGAAAAATTCGTCATATTTTGGTTTGATATAAATTTAGTCACTCAGTCCGTGGGGCTGGATCACAAAGAACAGCTGAAAATATTCTTTTAGTTTGATGACAAACTGTGCTGCACTGCACTCTCCTTCCCTGTTTCATATAGCTTTGATTAATTTTAACATCAACAGATTCGCTGATCTTTTGGGGACAGTATACACCAAAGCGCTGTTTTTTATCCTAGGTATAAATATGCTAGCCATGAGCATAACAGGATTTCAGGTGATAAAATCGACTCCCCAGTCCATTTCCGAAATCGGTGTCTCCTCAATTCAATGCTCAATTAATGATGGCTCATTCATCTTAGACCGTTATGAAGCTTGATGAACCCAGTGAGAGCGTTCGATTAGGTTGCTTCACAATTGCACAGCTGATTCATCTGTATTTTCTCAGCTGGCCGGGTCAAAGACTGATGGATCACAGTCAAGAAATCCATTCTGCAGCGTGAATATACCCTGCAATTGTTAAAAACCCAGAAATATTAATGCTCTATCGTTTATTAGTTATCAAGGATCCTGGTATAACATGCCAGTGCACCTCCGGAAATTATTGATGCCGATCATGATGAGGGGGTCCAAACCATGTGTCGTATCGGCTGGTGGATTTTACGTAATGTCTCTGCAAAGTTTCAGTATGGTAAAGTTGAAAAGTCAAATTCTCCAGTCATCCAGATATTGAGATATAATTAGTTAACTGAATCCTCTTTATTAAGGTATTGAAAACATCAGCTTCCTACTTTACTGTTCTAATGTCATGCCAATGATGCTAGCGAAGGAGTGGATCACTGAATTGTTAAAATATTAGCACCTGTTAGAATTGTTATTCAAGAGTATTTGTGGCTTTTTCATCCGCAAACTTTGACTGTGACGAGAATTCGAACAACCAGTACTAATGTTGAACAGAATGTAGTGTATTATCAAGAATTCGTGATAAGAGCAATTTTCCATACGATTTTGGTGCCGTAGATTCCCCTAGCGACTAGATGTTGTTTGTTCCACAATTTTTCCCTCTAGCCCAATTCCAATCTTGAGTCATCAACTGATCATGTTTCTTCTCCATCATATTATACTGATCCTGCAGATGCAGAGGAAGAGCGACGTACAGAGCATCTCCACCAAGATTTATTGATTCAGTTATGGAGATCGGAATGGCCTGATTGGTGATCATAAGGTAGTACAAATAATCTTCACTGCCATCGAAGATACATCTCTCGAGAAATAAATATCTTCGTTGTAGCTTCACAAATGCATTGTTCAGTGATTTCCTATGAGATCACAAGATGTAGAATGCTATAAATATTTCTCGTCTTCTATAAAAAAATATCACTTTAGACCTACCAGAAGTTTGTGATCTATCTCATCTCTTATTCGTCGCAAACCACTCAAAGAGCTCAAACACTTACACTTCGATGGTATCGAACTGTTCGTAATGAACTGAGAGTTGATACCTTAGAGCATATGACACTGAACGGGCGCCACGGAGTGGACACCTCATGCTGAGGGCATTTTTTTATCGATTCCCATTTATCCCGGTAATTATTCTCTCTGGTGTCGGTTGTTGCGAAAATTAAACGGAATACTTGATATTGTAATTGCGAGGGACACGGGGAAAACTCTGGTTTCTCTTTCATCCGACAGACAGAACTGGAGACATGGATTTTTTTGATTATCCAAACTGGTTCCTTACAAAGTGGTTACTGTCTTCCTTCGGCGCATGGCCCTTTCAGACCTCACGACTTCGTTATGTCTGCCGTTATATTATGAGTTTTCTTATTTGTAGTATACTCATTCCTGAGGTATCCTTTATTTAAAAAAATCCAATGTAACCCTTTTTGCCACTGGCTTATCATACTAATTAATCATTGCCAATGACGGTCGATATATTTCCCAATAAAAATGAGAAACGCTCGCGTGCCAATTATTCGCGATTACTTTCTTGAAATCCGCGAAATGCGAAATTGATGGAGTGTTTAATTTTCTATTTTTCAGATCCTCCGGGTATTTACCGTCGGGGGAAACATGAATCTGCTCGTTGAATGTATCAGTACGTTGTTGTTGCACTTGTTAGTGATGGTGAAAATGATCAACTGCATCTCCAACTTGGAAACGGTTCTGAATCATAATGACGCTGAAACGAAAAATTAGCTCCGCCGAAAAGACGAATAGTGCAAAATTTTCCAATAATATTAGACGATATATCTCAATATTCTCATGCGGAATGAATATATTTCTGCTGAGCTAATTTCTGCTCTCAGCGACATTGCATTCTAGCAAATTGAAATCTCGTTATATTTTATTATCTCTAATTTAGGAGAAGGAATTACTCATGCAAATAGAGAGTCATAGAAAATTCTATTCTTCTGCTCCCGAAGTTAAAGTGCTAAATAGCTATGCGAATCGGAGTCGAACAATTACGCACGTCTACATCTGTAAGTAAATTAATTACATTCCGAATTGTAATTATAAAAAAATACCAATGAAAATGTGATTTCTTGAGTTTTTGTTTGTAAGTGAAACTGTTCAGTCACTCTTCTTTATTTCTTTTAAAAGATTATATTTATGCTACCACTGTCATGTACATGGGCACGCCCATGGTACCAAAAATTCTGGACAGCATCTTACCTTTAAATGAGAGTCGACCGACCATTTTTCTTTATGAGGCTGAATATTTTGTTGATCGTAGTGCATACAAAACGTGGATTTTACTCCATTCGTACGTCGTGACACCTCTACCAGCAACAGTCGTTGTTGCATTTGATTCCTTGTACTTTCATTTGGCGGAACATGCCTGCAGTTTGTTTTTAATAGCGAGGTGAGTAAAATTTTATTATATACGTGAAATTATTTTTTGAGTAAATATTCGAATTATTTCAATAATTACAGTTCGAATATTCTTCCCAAATACTACTTCCATGTAAAAATCGTCACGAAAGTTTCGACTCCTCGATAGAATTTCTCATATCTGATATTCAACAATTTTAAAATTCATAAGAAATATTATGTAGTCCTCCATTATTGAATTTTAAGAACAATGTTCTGAACAGAACATTAATTAAAGCAATTATTGATTCCATTCAAAACAGCAAACGAATGGAAAGATTGGCTCAGGACATGGAATTCTGGAAATCATCAGACCAGATCATCTCTGCAAAGAGGGATGATGTTGGTGATGCTGTTGTACTCTGCATCATGCAGCACATGAAAGCACTCAAGTAAATGTCCTCTACCTGCGCTGCATGAAGACAAATTCGTCTTATTTTGGTTTGATATAAATTTAGTCACTCAGTCCGTGGGGCTGGATCGCAAAGAACAGCTGAAAATATTCTTTTAGTTTGACGACAAACTGTGCTGCACTGCACTCTCCTTCCCTTTCATATAGCTTTGATAAATTTTAACATCAACAGATTCGCTGATCTTTTGAGGACAGCATACACCAAAGCGCTGTTTTTTATCCTAGGTATAAACATGCTAGCCATGAGCATAACAGGATTCCAGGTGATAAAACGGACTCTCCTATTCATTTCTGAAATCAATGTCTCCTCAATTCAATGTTCAATTAATGATCGCCCATTAATTTCAGACCATTACCAAACTAGATGAACCCAGTGAAGCCATCCGATTCGGCTGTTACACAATTGCCCAACTGATCCATCTGTATTTCCTCAGCTGGCCGGGTCAAAGACTGATGGACCACAGTCAAAGAATCCATTCTGCAGCGTGAATATACCCTTCAATTATCAAAATTGCAGGAATATTAATGCTCTATCGTTTATCAGCTATCAAGGATGCTGGTATAATATTCCAGTGCACCTCCAGAAATTGTTGATCCTGACCATGCTGCGGGGGTCTAAACCATCTGTCCTGACGGCTGGTGGATTTTACGTCATGTCTCTTCAAAGTTTCAGTTTGGTAAAGTTGAAAAGACAAACTCTTCCGTCCGGATTCGGATCCTCATCCGGATATTGAGAGATACATAGTTAACTGAATCGTTCTTATTTAGGTACTGAAAACGTCAGCTTCCTACTTTACTGTTCTAATATCATTCCAATGATGATAGCTTGAAGGAATGGATGATTGAATTCTTAAAATATTAACACTTGTTACCATCATTATTCAAGAGTATTTGTGCTTTCTCCATTGAAGAACTTCAAGATCCGTCAAACGAATTCCCACTGACGCGAATTCATACCATGGAAATCGATTTTGTACAGAATCTGATAATTCATTCGTTGCGTAGCGTATTATAAAGTTCTTGTGATAATTCCAATTTTCTATGCATTTTGTGTATCAGAAGATTCCCCTAACATCTCGATGTTATTCGTCCCACAATTCTCTTACAACTCACATCTGCTCCCCTCCAATCCCAACTTCGACTTACTTTTACATTTTTAAATGGTGCTATAACTACGCAGAAATGATTTAGTAATGTACTCCCATGAGGTGGAAGCGCTATTCGATTCTTTCAGCCATATGACGCTCTCACCTACCGCAATTATGCTCTTTGTTGTTCGTCGACCAGTGGAAATCAAGCAGAATTATTGAAAACCTCTAATTGCTGGGTTGTCAACTCCTCCAAGAATCATATCAAAGCAGTTGAAACCTTTTTTGTACAATGGGTTTCTTCGCAAACTCGAATTGGCGACTCACTAAATTTCTACTATCCTGCTTTGGTGCTTGGCCTTTGCAGCGACCACTGGTCCGTGCCATAATAAAATCGCTCGTTATCGTCATATTAATAAGTATATTCATACCTGAGGTGAGTAAGAAAATCTTAATGAAGTGGGAATTGATCGCGATCTATAAGAAGCTGTCGTCAGATGCGAGACAGATGTGCTGTAAAGATTAAACCAATCATTCGTTTCGTTGCAGATTATCAAATTGATAACCGTGCGTGATGATTTGCAAAAGATAATAGCATGTGTGCCAATATTAGCATTGCATTCATTGACAATCACAAAAATGCTGAATTGTCTGTTCAGCATCGAGCAGGTAAGATCATCAAGATGATTCATTATTCCGAAACTCGCAGTGCAACAGTTCGTTTTGATAACAGAATAAGTTGCTGCTGCTGGAGATCCAGGAGGATTGGCAGCGGAATTTATCGCCGGGTGATGTGGAAATACTAGAAAAAAATGCCAATCAGAACCGAGTGATAACACACACGTACATATGTAATGATTATTGTCCATTTGCTGCTGTTTGCACATGTTGATTTGTTTTGGTTCCAAAAAAGATTACATCTATGCCACTACTTTGATGTACCTGATGGGACCAATGGTCCCAAAAGTGATGGATGTGCTGGTACCTCTGAACGAATCACGTCCGGCACTAGAGATATACCAAACAGAGTACTTCGTAGATCCAGAGAAGAATGAAATCCCAATTCTAATCCATGCTTATGTGATCACGCCATTCCCTTCAACGATCATCGTAGCTTTTGACGCATTGTACTGCAATTATGTTAATCATGCATGCAGCATGTTCGAAATCGTTGGGTGAAGGATATTATCTATTATATTTACTTTGCAACATTATAATCATCTTTACCACTTTTTTTGTTCGGTGAGATTGCAGGAAGCGTTTGGAGGCGATCATCAATGACATCGATGAGATAGAACACGGATTGACTCCAATCTCAGAGAAGTCCATCCACAACTCTCTCAAGGAATGCATCAAACAACATCGCAAGTCGTTACAGTGAGCGATTATTGTATTACTGGAACTATTAATGAAGGGATTGATGAAAAGAAGGATTAGTTGAGAGGTAATCAAGACAGAGGCTCATTTTCATCTTTCGATTCAATTGATTTTCAGATTTGCTCATCTGCTCCGAATGACATACAGCAAATGTTTCTTGAGTATTGTTATTATTAATACTGTGGCATTGAGTATCACTGGATATCAGGTGCTGTGTCTTCCTCTTTCGGAGGGCTGAAGCTAATTTTCGGCTGAAATGTATTATTTTCGTAGGTTGTTGCTAATCTGGGTGAGACCAGCGAAATTTTGAGGTACGGCACATTTTCGATCGGTCAAATAGTTCATCTATTCTTCCTCAGCCGACCTGCACAAAAATTGATGGATCAAAGCAGTCGAATTCATTGGTCGGCGTGAGTACCAGGTGAATCTTCTAGTTTATGATCTAGCCTGTTGATCCAATTCAGTTATCAGGGCTGCTGGTACAGAATTCCAATCAGATCAAAAAAAATGTTGATTCTCATCATGATCAGGAGTGGAAAGCCGTCGATCTTAACAGCTGGAAAATTGTACGTGATGTCCTCGCAGAGCTTCGCTAGGGTGAGAAAGTTCTTCCATCGCCTGCAACTAATTATTCATAAACTCTTATTCAAGGTCGTCAAGACATCGATGTCATACTTCACAGTTCTTCTTTCGATGCGATGAACCCACATCGCTGTAGTCAGAAAAGACCGCTCTTGTAAATTCCTTTAAAGACTCTGGATTAGATTATTAAATTACTATAATGATCGCGCGTTGCACAGGATTTTTTGTATCCATTTTCCGAATGGGATAAGAAAGGAATAAAAATAAGAACTCATTTAAAGTGTTCTCGTTGTTTCCGCTTCTGAGTAGGAAGAATATTTATTGCTAAAGTGTAAAGTTAATGGAGAGCCTGTTTCCAATCTTCATTTAATCATTATTCGTAAAACTGATAGATAAGACGCAGCCGTTTTCACAACAGTCATGTAGGATTGCTTCGTCAGATAGAAAAATTTTCCCGCTGTATAATATGGAGGCACATTGATTCTCATCATCATGAAACCAATATCTTTCATGATGTGGGCTGGCATGTCACACCACTGGCTGGAGTACAATGCGTGGAGCAAACCGTCTGCTTGATCCTTCAAATCATCAGCTGGAAAAGTATAGATGTAGCTTTGCGCCAGCATAAATTGCATTAAGCAGATGTTCTTCGCTGCCGCAAGCATCTCCCCGTCATTAAGACTGACTAAGAAGCTAAATCCTAGGACAAAAATGTTGAATATTTCATTGACTACATGATCTTATTAAGATAGTACCTGCAACGCTGATCAGCATAATGCTCATGAGCATCTGCATCAGAATGATTTCGTTGTAGATATCTTCCAACTTTTCAGCTCGTATCATCAACTTCTGATGCCTCGAAATCAGAGCTTTCAGATGTTCATGATTCTTCTCTAAGCTGTCGTACTGTCCAAAACTCTTGAACTTCAACTTCATGATCTCGCATTGCTCGCAGAGATGCAGGGTAAGAGCGACGTACAGAGTATCTCCACCAAGATTTATCGATACAGTTATAGACATCTGAATCGCCTGATTGGTGATGATGAGGTAGTACAGATAATTTCCAATGCCGTCGAAGACACATCCATCCGGAAATAAATATCTCCGTTGTAGCTTCACAGATGTGCTGTTCATCGATTCTTCGTCGATCACATTGATCTCGTCAAATATCAAAATTTTGGCAAGGTAAATAGCAAGTACGAATAAACCCCCGGAGTAAAACATCTTTGCTACTGTCTCGCAGAAACTTCTCCGTTCTGACATCATCTTCTTGTACTGTGCATTCTCCACCATTATCCAGTCTTCAGTCGACGAACGAATGATGAATGCCAGTTTGTCCCGATGCAGGTACAGCAGACAGCACTTAGCCAAGAGGAGAAGCGAGACAACCAGCATCAGAAATGTGTCAATCATTTCTTCGGAACTTCCGCATTGTGTTATCAGTTTTATCGTGCCCGTGGTTGCCAACATCGTCTGCAAACAAAATTGAAGATAAGTCCAGGTGATCTGATCAACTTGATTCCTTGTAATCATCGAAAAAAGGGATTTGAACTCTTGAAGATCGGGCGCAACCGATTTTTCCAAGGATCGAGGTGTTTTTTCTAATTGAAACGTTTTTTTTTGCAGATCACACACCATTTGACAAACGACGAGGGCGATTCTACATTTTAGAAATAACGTATCATCAAGGAGTGGCCAAACGCCATAAACCGATAGTGCATACGAGTAAAGGAAGAATAGATTTCTTGCAGATTGCCTCGGGCTGTCTTCGCGCATGGTACATTAATAATCGTCCCCCTTCTTCGATCTTCTCGGAAAACCCTTCCGTGAAAGCCCACCACCGTCTCGAATCGATCCGATAATTCACCTTGAATTATATTAATAAAGATTACATATGCACGAAATCGCGGACATATGTCGATGGTCATCACTTATGCATGGTTTCTAACAATTTTATCTAGTGGTCAAATGAAAGAATAATGTTAATTCAATCTTCTACGTATTTCCAATGAATTTATTATAATCATCAATGCATGACGGTTACATTGGATAGTCTCCCTTGAATGGAAGATTTTTATTTAAAAGACTTCAAAAGTGATGAGCTCCTTCCAATTCTTCACGGAACAATGAACTCATGCTTGCGCCAATTCTGAGTTCATTTATTTATTATTATACATAAACCAAAAATCAATCTCATCTCCGACTGGTTCTTCTGCAACTCACGAGATGAAATTAAAGTGTCAAGATTATTGATAGCTTTTCAGACCTCCACGTTTACTGATATGAAAGATTACATAATAATTTACATAATAATCAATAAAATAAATAAAGTTAATCCGCAGTCTTCACAATTTGTGTAGTACGTCAGTATGAAGTGGTAAGTTCATCATCCGTATTTGTTGCTTCCCATGAGTATTCAACATTATTACACAAGGATAAATTAATAAACACAATGTACACATTACACATCAATTGCTATCCGGAGAACAGACATGTAGGACACGGAAGCTTTCAAAATTTCCATAAATGTGCTCAGTGTCATGTCAAAAAATTTTCCAGCTGTGACGTAAATTGGTTTATTAGCTCGCATCATGATGAAGGCGACATTTTTCATTGTAACCGCTGAGGCTTTATACCACGGGCTTTTGTCGACAGCAAGAGCCACTGATGCATTTTGTGTGGTCAAGCAGTCACCGCCGTAGCTGTACAAGAACAATTGTGACATCAGAGATGACAGGACAATATTAGCTTTGACCGCGGCAAACATGTCACCAGTTTTCAGTGCTATTATCACCTGCAGTCCTATTCCAAATGAAATATCAATTATCAATTGACGGTAATATCTTTTACAGATGGACTCACCCATAATGCATATCAGCACAGCACTCATAATCAATTGCGCCAAGATAATCATGTTGAATGTGCCCTCCAATTTGTCAACCAATTCAATCAGGTGGACATGTCTCTTCACCATTCCTTTCAACTTCCTCCAGTTGTTCGACTCTTCTTTCTCAATTTCAATATCAGTGAGATCATTCTGCAATATTTCCAACTGTCCACAGGTGTGCATCGACATGCCGAAGAAGAATACATCATTGCCGCAGTTACCGAGACATGTCGTTACCAGTTGATACATTTGCAGACCAAAAATGAGGTAATAAAATTTGGAAGTTGTTATGGGATCAAATGTGCAAGCCGTTTGGAGTGGAAAGTTCTTGATGACGTTGGAGCTGTTTGCTGGGAGGAACATGGGAAGTGGTAGAGCAAGGATGATCCAGGAGAGGGTGCCACCGGAGGCTGGAATCATCAGCGAGAAGCAGACGAGTTTTCCTATTCGTGCGTATTTTGTCATCAGCTCTTTATTTTGGGAGTTGTCTGTTTGGGAAAGCAATGACCAGTCTGCGATCGCAGAACGAACGTTCTCGGACATGTTATGGATGTGATGATGCACTATTAACCCTTTGACACATGCCAGCAGCGAGAAGACACTCAGGACAAAAAGGTCAAGGACGATTTCCACACCACGACAATTGTTCAATATCTCGAGGGTCAAACAGATGAATGTCGCAGCCTGTCAGGAGAAAGCAACATGGCGTGTTAGAGTATAGCTGCATGGTGAGAAAAAAAGATTCTTGCTAAGGATTCAGTTCTAATTGGAAGTATATATATTTTCATAAAAATGTTATTTCTTTAGTCATATTGTTCTAGAGGATGATTATGTTGGTTATGACCTTCAAGCAATAAGTGAATTCGGTGTTGGAAGCAAATGAATAATAATTATTGAAGTTTATCCAAGGAGATAGAAGTCCTCTGGGGTATCGAATACTAAATCGTCAATGATTTCAAGAAGATTTGATAAACCTGAGTGGATGCTGCAAGGAGTAGTCGAATCTCTGAGAATAACTCTCCTTTATTGAGCGGCCAAATTCCCAATGGCCACATTATGAGTTTGTACACCAGCAGCTCGTAACTGGTGTCGACTGTCCAGTCTTGATGCTCCATGGAATTGAACTGCGGAATTGAGGAATTACCTCTCCACAGAATTTTTCAGTAGATGACAATAGAACAGGTGCACTCTCTCAGGACAAATACCGCTGATTGCACACATCTGCAATATGGATGGGCCAACAACCCCTCACTTACGTAATTTGCATCTATGATCGAAATGATCATCGACCGACGCAGACAATGGGTAAAGACAAATTGCAGTCTTGGGAATTTCAATGGAGGTGGAATGATTACCGGTCATTTGTGTCCGAAACCAGTAATGATTACATTATTTGGGGAGAGTTTTCTTCCGCTTCCGCGTTATTATTCATCAGTCTTTGAAAATGTCTTCAAGTTTCATGTTTTTCTTCATCTATTTTGGTTTCCTATTTTTGCTCTGTCTACAGAGAAGTATTCAGTAAAAATGACGGAATGATTGACGTAATCCGAGAGACGGAACCGTTTACCGCCAGTTTAATACATTTAATATGAAATTAATTGTTTATTTATTCTGTCTTTAAGTGTTTTTTAGTGATGACGGCGAGGAATGGGAAGAATCTGAAGAATTTTTTTTTCTGTATTACCGACTGTCGGTTTTTCGTCGAAGAAAAAAAAAGATAAATCCATAGTGTTGGAATTATTGGACTGATTGAACGAACGAGGAAAATCTATTTAAAATCGTAAAGGAAAAAAGTGGAAAATTAATACATAAAATTAATACATAAAACAATTATATGCAATACCAGCGACAATTATCATTACAAAAATTTCTTCATTATTATTACTCACATTTCAGATTTATAAAATTATCTCCTTTATTTGTACAAACAAATTCCCTCTCGCTTGCGGCTTTTTATTATTTCCCCAACGCAGAATTATTGTTATTAAAAAATTTTTTAACGAAAGTGGGAGATGCGGAAGAAAGGAAGGAAGAAATTCCAGTTCAAATCTCATATCAGGTAGTATAAATATTAAAATATAGAATGTTTTAGGCGTGGAGAACTAGTTTCTCATAACTGGTACCCAAAAACATTCGGGACTGCCGCATATTATTCAATGACTCTTCGGTTTTGTGAGCTCCGAGTAGGTGTGTAACATCGAAAGCCGGTTTTATCCTCTGAAAATTCTCCACTTATTTCTTTTGCTGTCAGGATCGACTCCTTTTCTCGAATGCTCCATGTGAATTTCGATCATAAAAAAATGAAAAAGTGCTCTTATCCCCGTGTAAAATGCACTGATAAAAATAATGACTTTTCCTTGAATTTTTTTACACTTACGTACATTTACCTGGGCAATGAAAAAATATTAACGGTGTAATAATAATCCAATAAAAATGTTTAAATTCAAATGTACATTGAAAAAATAAATTAATTCAAAAGATTTTTTATTCTCCTCCATTAATTCAATCGTTTTCGTTTATTTATTCATTTCATTCATCAATTTTTATACACTATCTCCTCATTTATTTGTATTTCAAATTATAAAAAATGTATCAAAAAATATTTTTCTATATTAATTTAATTAATTATTCATTTATGGCGCAAATTTTAGGAATAAAAAAATTTTTACTTCTATTTTCGGTTAAAAAAAAATTCTGATAAATAACCAGACGATAAAAAAAAAGTCATTTGTTAAATATTTCCGTCCGTATGCCAAAGTAATTTTTTTACTCATTTATATACAGTATCGGCATGCCTCCACGCATTTTGTCGTGGTTTTGTAGTGAACCTACAGTCATTCCGTACGTTTCATTGTGTTACTGGCTTAATACGAATCCTCCCTTCTTCAGGTAGTGAAGTACCGTTGGCTGGACTAAGTTTAACGCCAGTCAGGCTAAAGCATCAGGAGCGTCAGGTGCATGAACTCTGGCGTTGCCTCATTCCTAAAAAAAAATAAATTCCCTCCAAGAATTTACCGGAGACTTCTCAAATTTAAACCAAGGTAAGACAACTCTTCCAATTTTCCCTTCATTTTTATCCGGTACTCCCTCATAAAATAATTAAAACCCAATTAGAATAGTTGGTAACAATTTTTATAAAAACTGACATTTGGAAATTGTGCCAATTGATGACGCAGTGAAAAGTGAAAATATTTCAAGCCCCAGTTTTTTTATGTGCATATCTAGTTATGAACCATGAGCTGTTGTAATTATTCGTCAAGGTTTGAGCTTATCGTTACATTATTTGATAACATACCTGTTATATGTTTGTGCGCGAAATTCGTCGGCGCTCTTGGCGATAATAAAAATAGGGTAAATAGAAATGGTATCGAATAATAAGGGTACAGAGAAAATAATTGTTCCGATAAATGAATTTACTTCCGCCAAGTGAACTTTATTTATTGTAATTCTGTCATATAAATTTATAGGAAATATTTGCACTGATCTGATTTTTCTTGTCGTTAATTAATTTGAGTGGAGTTATTATTGTTTTCAGGGCAATTGTTGGGGGTTGATCGTTGATTTTTTAATTGAGAATATTTGTTACGCACCGCCATTCGTCGGCCAATGGCCTTTACACTTGGCCTTGGGAAATTATCGGCTTTTTTCGGGGATTCGAACGGTTTCTCTTTCACCTCTTTCGATCAGATTCCTCTCCTGTACCTCCGGAGGAACATTTTTCGAAAGTAAAAACATGAAAAAAATATGTAATCCAAAAATTATAACTGAGACATTTTTGTCGAGATTATATTAAAAATATATTCAGCATATACTGAAAATATATCCTCATATAATTGCTATATATTTCTGAATATATGAAATTATTGTTTATATATCGAATACAGAATGATTAATTATTTTTAATATTACTATTAATATTTATTGTTATTATTAATATTGATTATTGTTTAATAATTATAATGATAAATTTAACGGTCATATTCTCAGAATAATTCTGAGGTCATGATGCTTTAGAAATCGGAAAAATCGAGAGTGAAAAAACGGAAACAGAAAATGTTTTCAATTCAATAGGAAGAATTGTGTGGAGATCGATGGAGATGAAGATCGATCGTGGGATTAGGGACAAAAGGTAGAATTTACCGTATTTTATAATTCAGTTATAAATTCCGGTCGAATTAGTTTACGCATTGAAAATAATCGATGACTGACACTGCGTACCGTTATCCCGAATCTCAATAGCTCCCGAGAATTTCAATTTCACAAGATTTACGGTACATCACGTGTCGGTTTGCATTTTCTGCACTCAATCCTTTATCAGAATGAGAAATACAATAATTTTGAGTCATTCCATTGTCCCAATCATAATCAAATCTCAATTATTCACATGCGACGAATTCAAATGACAAATAAAGAATAAAAAAAAGTTCTAGTGCATCTTGCACGAAAGAAATATTTTGATAATTTCTTACCGCAATCGGCAAACGAATTGATTAATTACAAATAAAAATAGAATAGAACAGGAAATTGTTTATTAAAACGGTAATGTTTGTCAAATAGTAATTTATGGAGGAGTAAATTGTTTAATTATTGCACAGCAGGAGATTGAACTACAAAGCCATGACTAGAATCATCCGAAGTAATCGCTCAAACCGTTATTAAACACTCTAATGACGCTTGTCGTAATGAGGGATTTCTGAGAAGCTCAAATGATTTGTGTAATCCTAAGAAGATGGTAATAATGCGCCTAGATTTCTGCACACATTCCCGTTACCAGCTGTCTTTTCCTTGGCAAATTTCACTGGTCATTCCGCTACGAGTCAAACCAATGACCAAATTGTATTGTTGCAAAAATTAACGGAATAAAAATATAGGGGAATATTTTGAGAGCAACGGTATTCGAATGATCATGAGCTGAAACGTTTCCGGTGTGTCATTTATACTTACACATTTCAGTCATCCTCCGTTGGATTTTTAAAATTACATTGTCACTGAAGAAAATTGTTTAATTATTTTTCTCTGAAAAATTGTTAGGAGAGTAGATTCGAATGTTGAATGAATTGAATAAATAAAAAAGGCCATGGAATTTAAAGTTTCAGAAATCGCATAAAATTTGAAGTGAAAATGAGTAATTATAATAAAATTCTAAAAATTCAGGGAAATTTGGAATTGAATTAAAGATTCTCCGGAATTTTTCTAGTTCTTCATCAATTTTCCTGGAATAAATAATTCTTCTAATGTTATTCTGAAATTTTTTTATTATTTAAACCCCTCGAAATTTCTCTATTCAAAACGTTTTTTTAAACAAATTTAACAGACGATTTATTACGAAGTGATTGCTCTCCAAAATGTTTAATTAATTGCTGCCTTTGAAAATTGCAATCCAATTTTTTGTTTCAGAATAGTAAAATGCGACTTCTGCAAAGTGCAATAGTTTTCATACTATTGGGTGCTGTGATTTCTGATAAAAATGATGATGTCGATATATCCAGTGTCTTCATGGAAGCAGCGAGCACTTTCTTCTCCGACGATTCGTCTGGTGCCAACAAATTCGCCGATGGCGATGATGACAGAAAAGTGAGTAGTCAATCCAAAAATTCAAAAAAATCAAAAAAAATCTGAGAAGCTACAATTTTCCAATTAATCCCAATTTATAATTAACTCCAAAAAAAATTATTCAGCCATAACACCCCAAGGCTTAAAAAAAAATTCAAATATTAAAAAATGGAATTGTTTTATATGGCACTTGAAAAATCATCAATTATTCGAAAAAGTATTTTTACTCTCCATTTTAACGGAATGGAATGCATTAATCGAGAGAAAATGACGTTTAATTTATTAAGATCTAGTGCATAATGGAAATTCTCAAGTGCAATTTCCGAGAGCCTGTGATTAATTTCCCTAAAAGTAATTAAAACTAGCTACAACTGATATAATTATGTAAGCTAGGTAATAAATTTAACAGATCGCTCGTTAACAGCAACTGCGTACTACAGCAATACTCGTAACCCATAAATAATGATTAAAAAAAATTTTTTCCCGCAGCATTGAGGACGGAGGATCGAGTTGAAAGAATGACATTTTTAAAAGCTATAAATTAATATTTCCCTTGAGTATTTCAGGCTACGAATTGTCCGCAATTCGAATGACGCATGAAGCAGTTGTTGAATCAATGAAATATATTTGCGATTAGAATTCACAAGACCTGATTATATTTCTTTATCAATCTCCCTTTGTCTCCGGACTAGAGAAAACTCGATGTATGAATCGAAGAATGTAATTCTTATTGGACGTAGATATCGAGAAAAAATCCGGAAACATAAATTACTGCGCAATATGGGAAATAGAACGGAATCTAATCCTTGGGTTCCTGATCGGGTAGAATGGTGAGATGTACCCGATTAAAGTCTTGATCATCATCGTCACATACTCTGACAGAGTCGAAGCGATGTAAAATAACCATTAAGAAAAGAATCTAGTCCGTCATGTGTCCAAAGAATAATCACCTACTTTGTCTGATTCAGGCCGGAGCAGGTAGCGGTCTAGGTCAGGTGCTGTCGGGTCTCGGGAACCTGATGGCAAGTGCCTCCAGCGGCCAGAACAAAGGTAATGATCAAGGTGGAATGGACCTCTCCATGCTGGGTCCACTCCTGCAGATGGTTGCCACAGCCTCCGGTGGTGGTCAAAAATCGAATCACGAAACTGAGAGATCCAAAGGTTCAGGCTTTGATTTTGAGAGCATGATCAATCTCGCGGGCATGTTCATGGGTGCTAACAACAACAACAACAACAACAACATGGGTGGACTGATGGGTCTTCTACCAATGATTCTGGATAACATCAATGGCGGGTCACAGGGTGGACGCAGCCATGATCATTCTGGACACTCCTGGTACATGCCACCGGTTCTGGAGAATATTCATGTCATGTGGGATCACTTCATGTGAGTCAACAATTCAACAGATATATCGGCAGAAGAGATTTTATTTGGCATATCATGTTACAGCAATTCGGAGCTTGGGCAGACCCTCTGGAAGAACAGCGGTCTAGCCAATATCGTTGGATCGATGACCGATGAGACTGGACAAATCAGGTATGGAGATATATTGGAGAGCTTTGAGAACCCGAGCATCAGACGCCGATGGCTGAGATCCTTAACCAATTTCGTTGCTGAGTGGATCTCTCATATTTCCGATCCAACGATTCAGCAGCGATATTTGACAACCGCTCAATTTGTGGGGAACAGCTTCTTGAAGTCACAGGGATTTCCCAAATCAGCTTTATTCGATCCAGCGCGACCAGCAGAAAGTCTCACGAGGTTTGTACCATAATAAGGATGAAATAATGGACAAACTGTTATTCACGAATTATGGATAATCTTTGAGGTGAGAGGGATCGTAATCACCGTGATATAATGAATATTTACAGATTGGTAAATGCCGGAGCGACGAAATATCTTAACATGAACCTGGACAGTGCAACCTACATAAAACCAGCAATGGCATACCTTCAAGAGCTCATCCGATTAGCTTCTGAGAAAGGGTTCATCATGTCGCGAGTAAATGCTAATGAGCTCAGTAATCGTCTCAGTGAGACCATAAACAATGACTTTATTGCTCCCCTCCTGAAGGTAAGCGTCTCGTTATCCCCGATAAATGGGCACGGTTGGATAAACTTTTTCCATTTTATACAGACATACCGGGCTTACAAATGGGCATTAAAATCACCCCAATGCGCAACTCACATCTTCTGCGTGATCAACCAGAATGTAAATGATGAGAGTCGAGAGGTTGCACTGAGAAGTGCTCTCATTAAACTCAGTAGTTATCCAGCAGCCTGGACCTTGAGCACTAAAACATACGTCAACTTTTGGACACTTTATGGCGCCATCCAAGAGGGCGACGAATGCTTCGTGAGTATTTCATTGTTTCATTGCTTTAAGTGAACAACCGATTAAGGCGATTTCGTTGGGAATTCCCAAAAAAGGGCCCACAAAAACCGATCGTATTATCATGAGATATGGTTTTTTTTTCATCCGGTATCAATGTAAAGATAAATATTTATCGGGTAAGCAAATCATTCAATAAACACTTGTGACTAGCGCATCTATGGCCCACCATTATGGGCCTTGAATTTTTTGCCGAGTCAAAACGATGCATTTATCGCGCGTTTGTATCGTCTCCCTCTGAACAAATGGAATTGATCAAATAATCGAATGTCGAAAGGTGAAAATTCTTGGACATGTGTTTAAAATTTCTTGGCAAGTAATCCACTGAATTTCTCTGTTATCCAGAATAAATTCCCAGTCGACTGCAACGATTTCCACGAAGAGGAGATTCGAGTGACAACAGAAGCGATTCACAACGAACTGTAAAATCACACGTCCCGACGTTTCATAGACATTTAAATTGAACTAAATTAATTCCAACAGACGCATCAAGATGATTTCAGAAGATCGGCCATCTCGTGTACACATGTTAGATTATTAAGAAAAAAATTCAAGTGAAAGATGAGAAAAACAAGTCGAAGATTGATCTGAATTTAATGGATGTTGGGATAATATTACACTTGCATTTCAAAAGATTCATTGAGAATCGATTTGAATCGAGTGAATCTGACTTCAGGATCGTAGGTAAATATATCTAGATGAATGCCTCAACTTCGGTGCAATAATTATTTAGTATGTTGTGGTCATCGTCATTCATATTTACATTATATTCATAATTGTCTTGTAAATATTAGATAGAATTCGAAATGAATTGTGTAAAATGTACAAAATTAATCAGATTTTCGTATCCGTTGGTTGAATCCTTAACTGAATTCAGTTCTATATTTGGTATTACTTTTTTTTAATGCTCTTGCAGGCCCATTCGAGTCCCTCCTGCAATGATTGTTGATATAAATTTATTAAGTGATGAATAAATCATTGTAAACATCATGATCATCATGATTTTTAATACCTTCACACCCTTTCCTTCTGTGGCAATGCACGCCTGGATTTGCCAGTCTCGATCCTTTATGTTGTGAAGTCCTAGACCTTCTGCTATTTCCGCCGCTGTCACGGCATTCCCCAGGTCCTGCTTATTCGCGTAAACTAAAAGGGGGACTCCCCGTAATTTCTCCTCTAGCAGAAGTTCCGACAACTCTTGACCGGTTTCCTCTAGCCTTTTCAGGTCTGCACTGTCGACTACATAAATCTGAGAGCAGAATCGATTCACTGATCGTTATTTATTCTCCGGTTTTTCCACCACTTTCCATTTTTTTTTTTAATTTCTGACAGTCTAGTGCGAATTGAGACGAAAAAATGGCGAATGGAGCCACAGGATTGGGAAGAATGGAAAGTCATTCGATAAAAGTTGAATTGAAAAACTGAAAAATATTTATTCGTCTCGATTTCATAAAGAATTCATAAAGAATTTGTTAGGAATTCACGGATGAATGATTAATGGCGGGAAACAAGAATGAAGTCTCAGAGTTTTGATTTGTGTTTTGATTTTTTAACTTCTTTTAACTTACAAGGACGTCAGTGTTTTCGAAATAGTTTCTCCAATAGGGACGAATCTTCCGAGCCCCTCCAATGTCCCAAACATTGAGTTTAAAGCCTTCGCTTTGAACGCTTTTGATGTTGAATCCTTGTGTTGGTGTGACCTGAAGGAAATCGAAGTCAAGATTTATCTTTGAAGTTTATTCTATTCTCAGATCGATAGTTATTCTCTTAAAATATTCCCAATAATCAATTTAATTAAGGAATTTAATAATTTCATCATGAGATTCACGAACTAATAGATCGATTATAACTAAATCATTTAGCCCGTCCTTCAGAGATCCGATAAATCATTTTCTAAATGAATCGAGTCTTGCAATAATTTTTTCGATCAAAAATGGACTATTCCCGGTTTTTGGTCAAGCCGAATAAATATCACAGGAGTTTTAATGATGAAATTTTCAGCACCGATAGGTCAATAATTACCTGAGTGATATCTTCACTAGCCAATGACTTGAGAATTGTCGTCTTTCCGGCATTATCCAATCCAAGAAGCAGCAATCGCAGTTCCCTGTCTGGATTAGACCGTAATTTACGAAGGATAGACAGCAGTCCCTGTAATCAATCGATTAATTGGATTCACTTACCCTTGTAATTTAAACTTTTATCAGGATTGATTCCTTCAATGTTCCATCGCTGTACTTTGGGGATCAAACTTTAGTCAAGCATCCAAGTTTTCAATGCTTGTTAGGAAAATCGATCAAGTCTTTCAGCAGTGACATATCATTACACTAGAATGTCGTGACATTGAAGAAAAATATTCGGTCAAAATTCAGGCGGACTTAATTACTGTGAGAAAATGATAATCGAATTTAACAGATAATTGTGCGAATGGAAAGCATCAAATTGTCAACAGAGTGTGAGGATTTTGCGAATTATTTGTTATTTATTTACCATTTTTTTTTATGTTTTTGGATGAATGTTTGGGTTCAGTTACCGGAAAGCTTTCACTCCCTGCACGACGTAAAGAACTCTGTGTTGTTTGTTTCACAGGTTTCGTAGCTAGGGCAGGTGCTACACTCTTCAGGGGGGCAATGATGATTTTGTACATAGGTTTGTTTTGCGCAGAATCATAAAATAGATTTAATATAACAAGGTGTACAATCTGTATAAATAGGGTAAACAACTGAACGATAAAAAATGGGAAATCAATTTACAGAATGGCGTGAAGAAATCGAGACTTTAAAGTTTTCTTCTAATAATTTAATTGTAAATGAACCAGAAATAATTGTTATTCCAATATAAATTATCGGACCTCCATTAAAAAATCCTCCAATACTTGATTCATCTATAATAAAAATAAATATGAGCAGACTATTGTCATAAATTATATGGATCGGACTAGTATTTTCCATTTTTTAATGTCTATTAAAATTAAAGAGGTTTCTTCCAAATAAATTAACAGGGAAAATCGATTCATTACAATTTACCGCTCCGCTAGTGACTCATTTGAATAACCAAATAATTACCGACCGCAGATAATATAAGTCTCCCACCAACTGGCCGTCGATAACTGACCATCAGATGATCAATTACAATTCAACGGTATAAGATTATTTATAAGTAGATTCCGCGAATATTGACGCTTGTCTCAAGATTTATCAATCGAGACAATTAACAAAGTCCATTAAACTCCCAGTAATCTGTTATTCAAAGTAATCACCACCAGAATAAGACTGAGCGTGTCCATGAAGACTCTGAAGCACATGTACTATTATAACAATTGGATGGTTCCATGACCTCATTTAGTGCAGACAGTGTGCACAAATGGAGTACTAACCATCAGCGAAAACATTGGAGTTATAAAAGACCCAGTGTTGAGCGGTTGGACATACACAATTGATTCGGTCCGCAGGAAATGCGCATTCCTCGAACATTATCCGACTTGGTATATTCCCCCTCATCACCCAGTCTCGGACAATGTACAAACGTCGCCAAGTACATACACATTCAATTGTAAAATGCGCCCGCGCACTCAGCCCAATGCAATTTTTTTTTATACATCTCTGTGTTCCCCTTTCCTATCTCGTCCAAATAATGCACCGAGGGCGCGCCTTTCGTTCGTTCGTTACGACCAAGGACATGGTACAAAAATACTCACTTTCCAAACAACCCGCAGATGCCACCCAATCATCCCCTCTATTCTCAGTGAGAATCAATTCCACCATTAATTCTTTTATCAACACTTAAAGTGACAATGGACATGAGGAGAAATTGACAGTAGAATCAGTTAACTACGGTAAACTTCTTTTTCTCTTTTATATCAAGTCTTTTACTTCTTCTTGGCCTTTTACTCTCTTTCACTGGCGTCTCCCACGATTCAAGGCCACCTTGGCACAACGCCATCAGTTCAACTTGCAGGGAGTACGAGACTTCCTTTATATACATCTATATATATTTTTTTTTTGCTCCTTTCCTCCTGTTGATCTTCCACTTGTTTCATGAAAAAAGTTTCCCTAACCTCCACCTCCCACCCCCGTCACCCACTACTTTTCCTTTCTCTCGTTCACGTACCACATTTCGTGCACTCGCTGTTTAGATCGAAATTCAGTTTATATGGATCTGTATCAGTTTTAGATTGTATTCTGTTCATGATTCTCTGATCGGTATTCGCGGGAGTAGCTCTTTTTGGGACCTGTTCCAGGTGTTGTTGTTTTACCCTGATCAGTCAAAACATCTAAAATTAGCCTGATTATTTTTCCGACCCAAATATCGACCTACATGGCATTAGACTGATGATTTTTTGATGATTCCTTCTGACAGCTGATATCTAGGGAACAGATTATCCAGTCAAATTCCAGAAATTCATTCAGAGAAAATTTTTTAACCTGAAAAATTGGACAATAGCCGATAATGTTGAAGCTCTTCTGGTATTCTTCTGGTATTATAAGTGAGAATTCCTGATCAGGTTCGAATCAGAAGCGTCCCTGAAACGTCCCCAAACCCCATCCCTGATCCTAGGAATTTAATCGAACATGAAGTCAAGCCCGAACTAATCCGAAACTGAACAGCTGCTGGCCATGAGTCTCTTTAAAAAAAAAGGACTTAAAGCTCTTTTCATTTAGTTTTCCACGAATTTTCATGACAACTTGATTTTCCGTGCATCAGCACTTCGTCACGTGTACGTGTCAAAATCAATATTTAGCGTCACTGGGTTATGATAACGCGGGCCCGCCTGTCGGGCGTATACACGGTGTCTATCTTGTTGCGCTTTTAGGTGGCGCGACGGGGTGTTGCATTGCGTTTTCCACATATATAACATACATATATAACATCTATATATCTTCATGTTATGTCGGTTCACCGGTGTGTGGCATGCAAAAGCGGTAGAAGACGCATTTCAAACTCGCTTTCACGGAATCTTTGTGCATGTGTTGCCCCTAATATGAATATATACAGGATGAATGACCGACCGATCGAATTTTATCGCGGAATTGATAAACACGAGTGATGCAATCGCGACATTTTGCCTCCTGGTTGAATTTTCGGACTGGATATAAACTCGATTGTGACGGCAGATCAATGCCATTGGACTTCACATTCTATCTATTTTCGCTTCTCGTGTTCTTTTTTTCTTTGTTGTCGTTTTATTTTGCCTTTTTTTTTATCACTCGCGCGTTATCACCTTCCGGGGGATATTACCGCATTTTTTGAGGGAGAGAGAAACGGAAAATCGGACGTTTGATCCGTTAACGTGGGCCTCGGCTACCGTCAATGTCTTGATTTCTTATTCATTGCTTCATCGATCGTTCGTGGACTCTTGTATATAGACGATTTCATATCATGTACGGAACCTCCGGTGCTGGTTCTCCCTTATGGAACCTCCACTCGAGGAAAAATTCGACGTATACAATAAGTCGAGCAATGACTTGGCCCCAATTGAAACTGAATAATTTATTCCCCAAGGACATTGAGGGAAAACATATATCTGGATGTATTGATTGTACGATTTGTGGTTTTTTTTGTGGTCAAACAATTGAGAACTCCCGTGATTGCCGAAATTATTGATGGGGTGGTTATGCAATCGTCTTTTTAGGGCACTTCCTCTGGAAGGGAGTACTTTTTCCCTCTGGAAATAGAATCAGCTTTTCTCTCCGTCTCATAAAAAAAACTTGAGGACAAATTTTCGAATATACGAATTTCTCCGGTTATTATTATTATTTTAATCACAAATGTTTCATCGATTCAACCACTCGATCATCAATAGATGATTCAGCCAATAGAATTGCACCATTCGGTGAGACTACTCGGTATTATACTCAATATTTTTTGAATATTTATGTTATCCATCCATTGAAATATTTTTCCTCATTTTTGATTACAGGCTTCGCGTTATGATGCAATTCTATCGGCTGGAATTAGAGAGAAAAAAATAATTCCCTGAATACGACTCGCGGTCATGATATTTTAACGTGAAAAACTTAATAGGTTCATTTGTTTGCAACGACCCCATCGGAAAATATCCGATAATTTCTTAGCTCTCGTGGTATTATAAGTGAATACTCCTCCCCTTGCATTCTCGGAAGACAAGTTTCCAGAAACAACTGACTCTATCCCTTGAACCAAGACCTTTTTTCTCCGGGCATTGGAGTCCAAGCGCAACAGGGTTTGAATAAGTTTCTGGGATTTCTCTCCTATAGATAACCATTTTGGATTCCACGTAAAGCGATGTAGACCGTCTGAAAAGTAAAATAAAAAGTTTGAAGAATTCATTGGTCTGAATGCGCTGGCGCATCCCCCAGGACTACATCTACTTGTATCCACCATTGCCACCAGTTCCATAAGATCTCACCCCCGTCTTGTGTTCCTCAATAACCACCCCTCGGTTTCTACACAGACTAAACTATCCACATGCGCATATACTCACTGATACTATGCTGATATTTTCCATTCCATCTGCCGTTTTCGTTTCTAACCGAATGTAAAGATGCCATATATGTACAAAACGTGATATGCAAAACTTTAACCGTACCCAATATACCTCGAAAATGTCACACAAGTATCGTGCTTTTACCGTTTCGTATAAAACCGTCGAAATAACATCCCATTCCTTGGATACATCCGCTCTATCCCAATGAAATGGTTTCAGCTTTTGTTACTTAAGCCCATTGTGCACGTTAAATTCAATCGAATGTCTACCGTTTTATTTTCAGATGATATATACGTCTTAAGAGATGACAGTGTGCAGATGTGATGAAATAAAACATTGGGAATTTATTTTTTTTTAATGTGACTGTGCGATTTATCAATCTTCACCTCGACATGAAGAGAAAAATCGTATTAATTCATTATTTTGGTGATATCCCCCCTCTACAGCCCAGCACTGATGCTCGTCGGCGGTGATTGGCCGGTGCTGAGTGGTGGGGGAGGCCAGTGGTGGGGGTCAGGCGGAAGGGTGGGGAGAGGAGTATAAAGAGACTCATCTCGACAGGAGAGGTCACTCTGCAACTTCTTCTAATAGTAGCAATATGGAATTCTTTGGGAAGCTCATGCGCCTCTTCGGTGTTGGTAAGCCTAATATGGATCCTGTTGTAAATTTGCCAGTTGAGGTGACGCAGAATATTTTCAGGATGCTGGATCCTCAGTCGCTCCTGGCGGCAGCTCGAGTATCCCGGGGATGGCGTCAAGCCTGTCGAGGTGACTCTCGTCTGAGGGCCACCGCCAGGCGTCATCTCAGAAGGGAGAAGAGGCGTGCCTATGATCTCGTGGGTAAATCCCGGGTGATCAGGCCAGTTGCCAGGAGGACTGAGGCTGTTGTTAGGCCCGTAAAAAAACTCCCTGTTATACCCCCTCCCTCCTTCATTTTTGGCCCTTCTGGCGTCTCTGTGGGGATGCAGAGACCTCTAGGACAAACCTCCTGGCCCCGATCGAAGGTCTCGGTCAAGAGGAGCATGCTTAGGTTTAGGTAGAATTTATAGGTTAAATGTACAATTAGAAAGTTAGACGATAATTACTGGCCAGTAATTTAAGAAGCATGTTAGTTGTAAATTAATAGTAAATATTTAATTAAATGAATAAATAAATGAAATAATCGT